GTGTTAAGTTACTGTTAAGTGGGCAGGCTCAGGACTAACAGAGCTGGTGAAACATTGTGGTTGTCTAGCAAGAGAGTTCCTCTATTCCCAGGAGCTGTGTGCCTGAGATCAAGGTGGAGGCTGGTAAGACTCTTGAGCAGATCCTCCTCATACAGGGCATTACCACAGCAGTTAGGCATCCTGTGCCCTTGCACAGGAACATTCCCAGGCACCAGGCATGCCACAGCCATGAGGCCATCAGAGACCCCAATCCCAGATACTGCTCTCCCATTCTGTCACCTCTCTCCGCATCCTTAGAATTACAAAACAAGGTATAGACTATGATACATATTTAGTTTTGTTTGTTTTTTTAAATCAAACCTCTTATGAATGTTTACCTACACTGAATATCCAAGCAGAAAAACACAGAACACATTCCAACAGTGGTTCCCTCTGGTGAGTGGAGCAGACAGACAGAGGAAGAACAGTAAAGTGGTCTGAACATTATTTACAGGGCTGATGCACCGTGTTTATCACTTCAAAGGGAGTGAAAAGGTTTCCTTTAAATTTCAGTTCTGATCCCCTTTCCCCTCTGCCCACCCTCCTCTTCTGCAGCCCTCCTGAGGATAAAGGATAAACTTGAGCATAGTAAAATGGTGATGGGCTTATCTGAGCATTCAGAATCCATGAATCCGGCAGCATTAGGCTGCCATGGGACCAGTGCTCCACGGAGGGGAGGCAAGGCAGAGGAATTACACAGACACCCCTTACTGAGGATGGGGTTGCATCTTGATAAATCCACCATGAGTTAAAAATGCCCTAAGTCCAAAGAATGCATTCGGCCCACCTAACCTGTCAAACGTTGTAACTTAACAACACAGCTCACTGTAGAGTCCAGGTGGCTTCTCCTCTTGATCTTGTGGCCGACTGGGAACTGCAGCTCTCTGCTGCTGCCCAACACCAAGATCATCTTACCACACATTGCCAGCCTGGGGAAAGATCCAACACCAAATTCAAAGTACAGTTTCTCACACCATTGCCATTAAAAGATCTTAAGTCCGAATATCTGTTTTTGATGGGTTAAAGTGGAAAGGCTTCAGTGAAGGGTTAGTGTGGTCCCTTTTGATTGGTTACAATTAATAGCGTGGTTGTTTCTGATTGGCTACATTTCAGCTTTGTGTTACTGTTTCTGTTGAGTTGAGCTTTGGTTGGCTTGCATTAGAGCCCTGGGTGCTATAGTTGTCTCAACCTAATAAACTTCCAATTCTTTCATTAACTTATTTATTTTGGACATTGGCTGTGTTAGTCATCTTTTCATCACTATCATAAATTGCCTTAGGTAAACAGTTTAAAAAAGAAGGAAAGGTTTATTTGGGCGGATTGTTTCAGAGCTTCCAGTCCATGGTTGTTTGATCCTGTTGCTTCGGGCCTGCGGCTGCACAGAACGTCATGGCAGGACAGTGGGATGCAGGAGGCTCTTCACCTCATGGTGGCTGGGAAATAAAAGAAAGAGAAGAAGGGCCAGGTCTTCAGATCCCCTTCAAGGGGATATAAAGGGCCAGGGTTTTTATATTGCTTTCAAGTCCCACTTCCTACAGTCTCTCCCAACAGCACCACAGGCGAGTGGCCAAGCCTTTAACATGTGGGCCTTCGTGGGACATTGTAGATCCAAGCCACAGCAGTGGGGGTACCTGCAAAGCCAGAAGTCCTCTCACTGCTCAGGAACCCTAGTGCAGAGTCCACTTAGCCAACAGGAAGACAGCACATAAACACTGAGTGGCCCAGTGACCTCGCCCAGTGACCTCTCACACAGACACCTGATGTGTGGTCTCTTCTCTGTGTCTCTGTCCAGCCCACCCACCACTCAACAGGGAGATCTCCAGAGATGGTGACTGCAGTCCCCCCAGAACCACCATCAGCTGCACGTTCTCCAGGGGCTAGTAGAGCATTAGAGGAAAAGCTGTCCTTGCACTTTTTATGCAGCACAGTAAGGAAGGCTTGATTTAATGGGGAGACTGTGGAGCCGGATATGGGGTCCAGGCAGTGAAGACAGATCTCAGCTGGGATCCACTCCATTCATTTCCTCCTGTGGAAGCCCCCAGCCACATGGGCTCCCTGGCCTTCTCTCAGCAGGGTCTCCCTCCCCAGTCCCATTCCTGGAGCTCCCACCCCTCCAGGGCCCATCTCCTGGGTTGAGACTCTCCATCTGCCTTCTCTCCCACAAGACGACAGCATCCTTGAGGGCAGAGGCTGCAGCCATTCCAAGATTCACGCAGAGCCAGGAACATGGAGGTGCACAAGATTCATTGATGAAGTAGAGAAAGAAAGAGGAAGGATGGATGGAAGGGAACATTTCCCATTTTTACCATAAGGAGGAGGGTTGATTTTATTTCATCATTGCTCAGTTTGTTGTGTTTTATTTTAGTGTTATTTTGCTTATGGCTCTTCTGGCTCATCTCTTTTCCTTTTCTCTGCAGTCACTGCCAGACTCTCTCAGAGTCTGTTGACCCAGCCAATCCGTCTCTACAATAATGGCAGCCATTTATTAAGCTCTGTGCAAGCAAATTATATAGGCTATTTTCTTGTAAACAGCAACTCAGCGCTTGAAGATAGGTGTTCTCCCTATATGAAAGACTGGTAAGTCCAGCTGGTGAGGAGTGTGACTGAGATTTGGCCCTGATTTATCTGGAACCACAGCCTTTGCTCACTACCATACTCAGATTGCCTCTCCTTCACCACACTGCCCAGGGGGGTCAGGCACACACCCACCACCTCGGCCTGACATCCGCTTGGACCCTCCATCCTGGCATTTCCCTCTCTGAAAAACTCCACAAAAAGACAGCAAGACAAATGCTGGATTCTTCTGCTTATTAACTGGCAGAATAATGCAATGGTGCCCTTCAAAGTTACCCCCACTAGTGACTAATTTTTTAAGTAGTTTTTATGGTGCATGTTGTTTATTTTTTGTATCATTATGAATCCATATATTTTTATAGAATCATTGCACTTGAATCTATTGCAGTCGTTGTTTGATTTTCAACGTTCAAATTCCTCCATCTTTGGCCATTCTTTTCATTGACTCTTGGATCCTTTTGCAGAACCTGGTATCTCTGATGGCTTCTGTTATGGTTTGGATCAGGAATGTCCCCCTCAGGCTCATGTGCTGAATGAGGGCTTGGTCCCCAATGCAGCAAAGTCCAGAGATGGGGGTTGGGGGAAGTGATTGGATCATGAGGGCTCTGACCTCATCAGTGGATTAATCCATTGAGGGATTCAGAACTAGATGGGTTGAGGGAGGTGGTAGAGACTATAGGAGGTGGCACCTCATTAGAGGGAGTGGGTCCTGGGGGGTCTACTCTTGGGGACCATATCTTGTCCCTGGCCCTTTCTCCTCTCCCTGCTTCGAGGTGGAATGGTCTGAGGAGCTTCCTGCCATGTCCTGTCGCCTTGATGTCCTGCCTTACCTCAAGCCCAAAGCAACAGAGATGGCCAAACACGGATTGAAATCTCCGAAACAGTGAGTCAGAATAAACCTATGCTCCTTTAAGTTGTTTTTCTCAGGCATTTTGTTTATCAATGAGAAACTGATGATCAGATCATCGGTCTCTGTGCCTTCAGGCTAAACAAGATGTGTCACTTCACCCTGCACATTTGCCTCATCAGACCTGTAATCAAAGGCACCCTCATTCCCAGGAAGTGATATTTAGAGACCAGAACGTGGGGGTAGAAATAGACATTGCTACTGGGATGTTTTTACTTGTAGGTCTTTTCAGCAGGGAGAGCTAGGAAATGTAAATTTGTTTTCAAAGAGAAAAATTAACCATGAATTCATGCTGCTATCTTCAGCACCTTCCTATTGGAATGTTAGACTGAAAATCTCGGGTACTAACAACACTATTACTCATTTTTCTGAAATCACTTTATGTACTTTAAGAAGGGACGTAAGTTTCAAAACAATAGCACCAGTACTATTACTAACAGTAAGATGAATGAGTACAGGGCGAGATTTCATGGGTTTTTCTTGGTCTTCAACATACCTGCCACCAGAGAGTGTAAAATAAAAATACTGTTACAGAGTCATTTGAAGTAAATGAAGGTCTGTGGTTTTGTTGCTGACGTGATAGACAGCTTAGTTAGTTGATTTCTGTTTTATTGGTATTTTTAGAGATCATTTTGTTTTATGTTTCCCTTTGATTTTGTTTTATAAGTATAAAATGTTTATTTTCTAGAGTTAAAACCATAAAACAAGAGACATTCAGAGAAGTCTAGAGTTCTTTCTTTCCTCACTCCCATTCTTCCCCCCCTCTCAGACGATGGCAATTTTAATTAACATTTGCTTTATCATCCTGTTGTTTCTATGTAAAAACAGGCAAATATGCGCATGTGTGCATGGCTGCACCATGTATAATGACCATTCTTCACATACGTCTTCCTATGCTTCTGAGTGAGTCTCCCACACTCATAACTGAAATCTGGGTGAGTGAGGCCGGGCCATTGCCCTGGGGTGACTTTGTTGCCTTGGTAGGTCCCTCTCACCCGCATCCCAGGCCATTAGTTCCCTTGGGGTAGGGCGGGGAGGCCGGGGTGGCTGAGCAGGGCATGCGGGGACCACCATCACCCTCAGCCAGAGCAGCCACACTTCTGTTCTACACATTTGACATACACATCAAATTTGGTTGGAAAAGTGGTTTCCACTAACTGAAGGGAAAATCCAACCACATGCCAACATCCAGCCGAAGCCTGCAGCTGCTTGGAGGCCACAGGCTTCATGCAGCTGCTGGGATGGGGTGGGCTCCCTTTCTGGGGTGGCCTGATCTTCAGTCCCAAGAAAACCCAGGTGGAGGAGAAGGGGAAGGCCTTGTCCATCCCTGTCAAGACGCCTTTATGGAGGGAGTTCCTACACACATTTGTGAAATGTCTCAGATTAAAGAGATAAGAAAATACAAAGGAAATTGAAGAGGTTGCTAGAGATCGAAGCAAACTGTCATTTCACCCTGAGTATATAAAATTTAAAATGCCCTCCAGATATGGCATTAAATCACCTCAAAATTGGCAGTCCCAATGAAAGATGGGTGTGCACCAATGGGTCATGACTAAAAGGCTCAGGGGTCACTCCAGTTGAACTGGGCTGACTGGGCTGAGCAAAATAACTACACAAGAGACACAAATACCTTTTTGTTTGGGGTCGCAGTGACGGCTCCTCTGACCTTGAGGGTCCGCAGGAAGAGAGAGAGCGAGAGCACACGCTGACCCCTTTTATTGAGGAGAAGCTATTCAAATGAGGCAAGGGGTCAGGATCAGGGGGCTGAGTCTATCTTCATGATGTCCCCTGTCCTCAGGTTGACTGACACCTGGGTAGGCGACACCCAAGGGCACAGTAAGAGGAGGGGACCCACACAAGGCACTTCCATGGAAGATTCTATCCTAAACAGGGCAAGGGGTTATATTACAAAGGAACAGGTGAGCATAACTTTACCCATGGGACTGTAGCAAGACACACCCATGCACGAGACACGGACCCTCGAACCCAAGAAGGGTGGGGAAAGCTCTACCACATTTCTGTGACTGAGTGCCTCAGCACCCAGCCGGGGATTGTGGCTCAGTCACATGTAAGGCTGGTCTCCCACATATACACTGAGTTTCTTTTGTTCTTTGCTATATCTCCCTCTACCCCCCACACACAAAAAAATCCACTCTTGATTGTGCAAGTGGGCAGGCAGCTGACACAAACCACACACACGCACGCGTGCGCACACACACACACACACACACTTGCACCCCAAAACCCCAGGCTCCCTGGACATGTCACGACTATTACACAGTGCATGGAACCATGCCTGGTTCATAGTAGGTGCTAGTAAACATTTCTGGAATGGACCCATGAATGTAAATAAGTTTTTCCATTTTAATGAATCAAATGGGTAAAAGGCACAAACTTAATTTGTCCCTGTAAAATGCTTTCCAGTCTCTGTTCTGGACATATTCCAGAAGTGATATCGAAGTAGCATTTTCCATTCCCATAATCCACAGCCCAGAAGGAAGGTGTTGTCAGTCTGTGTCCCGTGATGCTTTGAATCTGAAGTGTAGCTAGGGCCTGGCACAGCTCTGAGAAAGCTCTTTATGAGGTCATCATGTCACCCTTGCCAGATCTCCCCAGAGAGAGACACATCAAGCCCTTGAGGCCTCACAATGCCTCGCCTTGCCAACTCTCTTCTAAAAAGCGTCATTAGCAGAGGTCAGTTTGATGGCGTCAGGAGGAAGCAATGCCTCCAGTATCTGAAAGGCCTGAGAGCGCTGCAGCACGATGGGTTTCAGACCGTGTATTTTGGGGAAACTGATATCCCAGAAAGTCTCGTGACCGGGGAAGAACTTGGTAATGGATATTTCGTGCAAACTCCAACTTGGTGTATCGTGCACGCAGGAGGCAGTCAAGGATGGGTGCCGTGGAAATACCGGACGTTCCTAAGAGATGAGCTGTGCACCAAGCAGGAAGACCACCTCTTCTTCGAGTTCTGTGATGTGGTGAAGAAGAACTGTGGGAAATGTGCCATCGTGGTCAAAGGGAGGAGGCAGCAGGATGAGACGAGGCCCCAGGAACACAGAGAGGCCGAGGTCCAGGCCAACCTCCCAACAGTCATTAACTTAACAAGCATAGTGTGCTGCCCAGAGGTGGCCAAGTCCTACGGCCATAAACTGCTCTGTCTGCCCTCCCATTGCAACTACCTGAACCCTTTAGACTCAGCCTGGTGTTCTCTGAAGTGGTTTATCATCAATAACAGGAGGGAGTTCTGTCTGCAGTCCATCGACAGCGTCTACTCCTACCAGTACATACTTCTAAGTGATTTAATCAGCAAAGGGATTGAAAGGATAAACCTAAGCAAGTGGAAAACACTAACCAACAAAGTTCGCAGGTGGGAAAATTACTATCTTGGGAAATTTTCTTAAGGGCAATTCCTCCAACACGATGTGAGGCCCCGCTACACTTATGGTCTTTACCTCCAATGCTGTCAAGCTTGATTCTGGACTATTGCCCCAAAGACATTTCAACAGCGACCGCACAGGGCCTGGGGAGGCCAGAGAAGTTCCCAAGGATGTCAGAAGGTCCTGAGTTTACTGGAGGCTTCATTAAAGCTTGTTAGTAATTTAGGCGTCTCCACTCTCATCTTGTTATGGTGATTTTGAGGGTTGGGTCAATGGGAGGATTAGGGCCAACCACCCTACAAGGGTGGGCAGAGCTAAAGCGTGTGTGGTCACATGTAGGCCTTAGAAAAAACAGAGAACCAAGTGAGTCTGCAGTTACAAAGAAGTCAAAGTAAGTAGTACAGCGACCAGTTTCAGGCCACCAAAACAATGTCCAGGGAGCCCCTTGTCATCTGCAAGAGACATTGTCCAAATGGTGGCCAAGCAGGATGCTGTCTTTCCTATTATCCCTCTGTCCTCATCAGCAAGGAGGTGGAGGGTGAGTGGGAGGCGTTGGAGGATATGGAACCCCATCCAGACCCTCTGAGGCAAGTTGGTGGCCCCTACAAGGGGCTTGGGAAGAGATGGCAGGGATGAGTCAGGTGGGACTTGGGTGAATAAGTGCCATAAATGAGGTCTGTGGAACCCATTTGTCCAACCAACCCTCCATCCAACTCCAAGAACCCCAGCAGGGAGTCACTAGAGTTTGCCATGGAACTCCATCAGGACCCTGTAGCTGAGACACCTGATTGGTATAACAACCCCACATCCAAGTTTGGGGCCACCCCTAATGTAGGTTGTAAGGATTTGTGGTTGTATTTTTATAGTTACAGAAAAAAATTCCTGACCCCCATTAAACGCATCATAAAATTCACGCCTGTTTACGTGTGTGCAAGCAGTAATTTTACGATAGAAGCAATCACCCTGAGGTGTGTGAAAAGTAACTCACGTGGGATAATAAGAAAGTACATGGGAATTTTGTGCTTTTTGCTCAGTGTTGCTGTGAGCCTAAAATACAGCTCAAAAAATTAAGTCTATTTAGAAATAACTTAGGAAAGTTTCTCTTCAATTCCTGAAAGACTGAACTGTGTAGAAGTTCGTGAGACCAGGTTCCTGACAGCAGAGTGCAGAAACCATCATTTTCTTTGCTTGTCTGCGTTCCCTCCTGAACCTCCTGATATTATTCAGAAAGGCTTCACCAGATGAAAATTGACATTTGATGCTCTTTGGCAACTAATTAGTACAGCTTTTGTTGTTGAGAAGGGAATCCTAGTATGCATTTTAACTGGGGGTTCAGCTTACCCCAAAGAGCCAGCCACTCAGAACTATGAAGCCGAGTTGCTGCAGATGCTACTTTGGGGCCAATGGCACTGAATCAGTTTGCTGTGGCTGCTGTAACAAATTACCACAAATGTGGTGGTTAAAAATAATGGGAATTTACTCTCCCCGGGTTCTGGGGCCAGAAGTCAGAAAACAATTCCAGTGAGCTAAAATGAAGGTATTAACAGGGCAGCACCCCTCTGAAGTTTGGGGGACATGTTCTCTGCTTCTTCCAGCCTCAGATGGCCACCAGGGTTCCTTGTAGCCTTACCACCTTCTCCTCCTCTGTGCAAATCTCCCTCTGCCTCCCTCTTACTCTCATCTCTGTATTTAGGGCCCACAGGAATAGTCCAAAATCATCTTCACATCCTAAAATCCTTAACTTGACTGGCTACAAAAGGACTCTTTTCCCTGTAATTCTCCTGGCTCTGGGAATTAGGACTGGGATCCATTTGGGGACCATTATTCAGTCAAGTCCTGCTGCTAACGAAATTCTGCATTTCTCCTTGGCAACTAGCCTGGCGAGACAACTCTTCTTTGCAGAGTATTTGCATAGCCTTTTTCTCTGTCACTTAGGTTTTAGGATTTAAATTCCTTGAGGGAAAGTTAATAGTATTCAGACTTCCTTGGTCACTTCAACATGCTATCACTGTGCAGGTCCACATGTAAGTGGCCTGAGTTTTGGGATATGAGTGGGCTTTGCCTCAACACCACACTTATCACACACGTATGATGCAAGGGCTTCCTGACAGGAAGATTGGATTCTGCTCCCAAATCTCGTGTCACTATTCCTGCACGTCTCTGGGTGAGTCAGTTACTCATTTAACTAAGTGAGTTTACATTTGATCCCAATGGCCAGATGTTGAGAGCCACCGCCGAGTCGGAATGGCCTCTGGCATTTTGCCAGAAGTAATGGTTGAGAGGTGAGCCATTAAGATGATGCTGGATTGATTCAATTGTATATTAGACCTTTACTGTCTGGTATAGGGCGGCTCCTGCTGCCTCGGGCGCCCGCTACTTTGGAGTTCTCGTGGGATTCCGATTGTGAGTGTGCGTGCGCAGCCTGGTGGAGGGAGATTGGGCACGCGGAGCCCGGTGGAAGGAGTGTGTTTCCGAGTAGTGTGTGTGCAGTGCCGGTGAGAGTTGGGGAATAAAGAGTTGCTGTTTGAACCTACAAGGCTTTATGGCGGCTCGGTTATTTGTGTCCAGCCAGACTGAGGCAGCCAGAGATATAGGAATGACTATTATCTGTAAATTTTATCAGCAGGAAAACCTGAGGCACAGAGATTGTGTAGCTCGCTGCCTCTCAGAGGACTAAGATTCCAATCCAGAGCTCGTCCGTGGCCAGAGCCGTTATTCAGCCTGCCTCTTCCCAAGGAGAAACTCATCCCAACCTCAAGACAACCCCACCAGGTGGTGCTCATCTCTCCCACTTCTCAGGGAGGAAACAGAGACATGGGCAAGTCACGAGGACAGTCAGATTCTCCAGCCCGTGCTCCTAACCACCAGGCTGAGCTTGGTTGTTGAAGCCCAGATTTTCTTGTCACATCAGATATCAGCTGGCAAAATGACCATCTTCAGCTGGACATCAGAACAAAAGTGCATTTCCATGCAAAATTGAGGAGGAGGCAAAATACCTTTGAAAGATACATTATTTTGCAGTGAGAAAAATAATTGCATGTGTTTAGGCTATCAGATGAACAAGATAAACCAACAGGAGCTGTTTTTGTTTGAGAACCAAAACAATTTAATAAAATGGGTTTAGAATTCCATTCCTTTGAGGCCTTGTTTAATCATTAGAAAAGCAAGCAGAGGAAAGAGGACATCAGTATAAACAGAGAGATCAAAGGGGCCACCTACAATGTGCAATTTAGTTACATAAGGTTGCATTCATAATTAAGAAATGTTGGTTTGTAGTTAGCATGGAAACTTCCAGCAGAAAGTTGTGCTCTGGGAATCGGATGGACCTCGTTGGGATCTCAAGTTTGCAGTTTATTAGCTATGACCCTCTGGACAAGTTGCTTTACTTCCCTGAGGCTCAATTAACTCATTAGTGAAATAGGTTGAGGGCTTTAAAATAGTGTCATATGTGCCAAGCCACTGCATTGTCTGCCACATACTGAGCGCTCAAAAAATGATACAGTTCAGGCTGAGGTCATAGCAAATGTGTCCACAATTAGACTAATGCAGCTGCCCTCATTTCCCTTTTATTCTGAGGAAAATTTTTGCTTTCTTTTATCACCAGGATGTAAGAGTAGACACATCTTAAGACACTTTGATCAAAGGAAACTTTGTTCCCTGGCATTTCTTTTAAGACCATCTGCAATAGGTTAGGGAATTAATAATAAGAGGTTTCTTCTGGTATGGCTGGTGAGTCCAGCCCAGAATCTCTAGAAATTGCCACATTTCCTGCATTGCATGAAATTAACAGGGGGTGACAGTACATAGCCACGCTGGGCTTAGCCGCACACCTGTAGACAAGTCCCCTGGACCAGTCTCTGATGTTAATGGCGCTATGCTTCTGAGTGGTGGCTGATGAAACATCTTGTCCTCTCTGGCCTTTCTCATCATCAACGACCACATCCCTACTCCCTTGGCATGCACCAAGGGGACCTGAAGGAGGTGATGCTTTAGAAAACAGAGCTATCCTCAGAACAAGCCCAGGCATGCATGAGCAAATGAACTCTGGGAATTCAGGATGGACGGAGCCCCACTGGCCAACCAAGGGGCGAGGCTGCCACCCAGGAAGTACACATTCCTTCTATGTGTGATGGTTTTGCCACATGCATACTGTCTTTTACCTCAGCCTCATTCCGTTCAACCACCGACCATGTACAGGAGACAGGATGGTGATCCTTGAGCTCATTAAGAAAAAGAAAAACACATATAAACAAAACCAGGTTGGGACAGTGACTCATTCATCTAGACACATCCACACCAGCAGTGATGGGAACTCAGAACCAGAAATCAAGTCTTCCTACCAGGAAGCCCTGGGACCTATGTTGAACCGACACCATGTGCCAGCTGAGATTAGGCTGGATTCTGAGTAGCCCAAAGACACAATCGGTACCCCACAATTACTACCAAAAATAAGCAGTGTCAATGTGGCAGTTCAGGGGTGACATGATGGACCCCTGGTCATCAAGAGCCTGTATTTCTACTCCATTACCCTAGATTTACCTAGGTCTCCATTACCCTCCATTACCTAGATCTGTAACTAGGCCTCAGAATCACCTAGTTACAGAGTCCAAAGTTGCTGCTGGACAAGCCATTGCATTAGCATCCCAGGCAGCAGAGAAGCAGAAAGGAGGAGAGGGCTCACCTGTCCCTTTTGAGCCTTCCGGGAAGATTCAACACAATACTTAAACATGATTGAAACGCAGCCTTCATTTTGGAGCCATATGGCCAGGTAAAATTCATGGTTATTCCTAGGGAGGGGCATGTTGATGGAGGTGACCAGTGGTCTTGGCCATGCTCCCTGCCCTCTTCTGGTACCAAAGGGTGGGACCAGCCATGTGCTCACCACATTTTCCAGTGCCTTCTGTGTGCCTGGCAGTGCATGCCAGGGCAGGGAACCAAGGAACATCAGCCTGGACCCTCCAGGTTGGGGCGGCTCCTCTCGGTCAGTGCAGAGAGGGTTCGGAGCCCAGGACCTGCTGCTGGGGTGCCATGGAGGATGCTACTGGCAGAGGTGACACAGGAGCCAAGAACAGAGTGACGGTGGGGACTCACCGCGGATTCACCATTACTGCCTCACCTCAGTCACCACAGCCTGGCCTTGGTCCCTGTCATGTCACTGGTACCATCTGTCAAAGATTTTATGACTCGACTCTCACCTGTCCTCCTTTCACATGACCCAGACCCAGCAGCACAGCAGGGACAACCACAAGCCTAAATCCTGTCTCTGCCTCCCTCCCACCAGCTGAGGGGCTTTAGAGAGGGCCACGAGCCTCTCTGAGCCTCAGTTTTCTGGATGATGCTGACATCACCCTCTGCAAATCTGTCCTGAGGCAACAGGTGTGAATAAAGCTGGGGGAGAAGGAAGGGCTGAGCTGGGCTCACTCCCTTCCTCTCTTCTGCCAATCAAGGGACCCAGCTCAGCTACCAGCTCTCCCTCCGCCCACAGCTTAAAGAACCCATCTCAAAGGAGGGGCAAGGAGCGCCTCACCGAGAATCACCTGGGAATGCTCAACCCACAGATTCCTGGCCTCTCGCCCCCAGGATCTGAGGCGGTGGGGCTGGACCAGCCCAGGAAACCCTCCTCTATTCTCTTCCTTCCAGACTCTCCCACGTCCCTCGCCCGGCTTCACTCTGGAACAGAGGAGAGATTTCACCAAGGAGAGATGTCTCAGGCATGGCAGGAAGAACCGCCCCCCTTGACCATTTGGGTGTTTCTTGCAATGAAATACGAGCTCCCCAGGCACACCGTCTGGCACATGGAGTTAGTGAGTCCTCAGGCCTGGCCGCTTGTCTTTCTTGCTTGAAGGCATTTCTGATGCCAACTGCTTTTTTCCTTTTCTGCTTCTAATGTGTTGCAAGCTTGGACATCAAATAGATGTGTAGGGGATGTGTGTTATCGGTGAGATCTGCATGAAGGCTCCTGGAGACCTCCTGAGGCAGAGAACATGGATTTGTTTATGCTCTTTGGCACATCTTTCAGCTGCCCGGGACGGTTGTCTATTTTTTACATATGCATTCTCACTTATGGTCCAGAGAGCTGCTGGATAGCTGTGGTCCCAATGGGGGTCCAGGCTGTGGCTTTACCAACTTATCTTCCTACATGTGTCCAGCCACGCATGCATGCATTCAACCAATTATTTAATATCAAACTCGGAGTCTCCGGACTTCATTTTGGAATGCAGTATCCCTCACTCAGATGAGTGACGGATCATCTCCCCCTTGTGGTAGAGGAGTGTATAGGAAGTAACTGAAAAGAAACCACAACCCAAAACACTTAACAGAAAAGCCACCGCTGCTGTCAGCAGTGACCCTTAGGTCATCTACTAAATTTTCCAAGAAAATGGACAGATCTTCCACAAATTCCAAAGCTGAGCTTCAAATCTCAAAGCCTAGAAAGACATCTGTATTTAAAACAAATAGGAATACCTACTGGCCAGACTGATTTTGATTCCCAGAATGTGTCTTGGATTTAGGAGGCACAGGGTGGGTCTGTATGGAAGGAAATGTGCCCAGAGTCTGGGTCTGAGGCCAGGCATGCTGAGACTGGGCAATGCCCAAGCCTTGCAGGGTGGGCAGCAAGCAGAGGCCAAGGCCTGGAGCAGGCTTCTGGACCAGTGGGGGTGAGACCCTTCACCTGGTTGCAGCAGGGTGGGAGGGGAGGCCAGGGCCCTACTTCTGGGTCCTGTCTGGCAGACCATGGAATCCAAGGGCCTCACACCTGTGCTCCTCTGTCATGCTCCCACAGGTCCCCAGGCCATAGAGGCTAGTCAGAATGGTCGTCTCTAGGACTCCCAAAGCTGGCTGGAGCAGCTGCCTACCAGGGCTGAGGTACCAGGTTAAGTGAGAGTCACTTTTTGACTGTTTTGAGATTTGCAGCTTGTAGCCTCAGGGTCCATTCTGCACACAGAAGTGGTTAGGAATATCCAGCAATCCCAGCCCAATTTAAGAAAGATGTAATTCCTTAACTTCTCACGTTCCACCCAGCCGGGCCAAGGTGGGGCACGTGTCTGCTAACACACTCATGCACGGTCCCCATGCAGCCACCAGCAATGGGACCACGCAGCCCCCATGCTTACGGCTCTGGCCTCACACCCCTCCATTCTGCTATCTTGGGAGAAGAGAAAGGTCTGTCAGCTGCTGAATAAAAAAGCTGGCCAGTCCTCTTCTCCCAATCAGAGAGTCTCCTGGGATGGCCCTCCCTTCATCCCAGCAGGCAAACTGGGTGAGGGACAGAGGACAAAGCACACCCCTGGGCCCCTCTTGTTCTCTGATGACAAGACTCTGGGAATGAGTTCTTCCGAGACTCAGTGCCCAGCATGGCCCATGGGTCACACTCTGCAACTCCTCCCCACAGAGATCCCTAGGGGTCAGCACAGCGGCCAGCTCTCCTGGATGGTCTGCACAAGCCTCCCTCCACCTCAACAAAACCACCAAAATGAACCACACTTGTAGGGGTGTGCAGGAGGGTAGAAGGGCCTGGGGGAGAGCTGGTGGGCTTCCTGCGCCTGGGATCCCATCCCCCACAAGAGGGGCCACCTGTAGGATCCAGGCCTCTGCACAGGCACCTAAGACCCGCTACCTACAGCTGGGAGGCGCCAAAGGAGGGGGCTGCAAAACTCCTTTGCACATGGGTGTGTGTGTGTGTGTGTGTATGTGTGTGTGTGTATGTGAGAGAGAGAGAGAGAAAGACACACACACACTCCAACTTATTCCAAAGACTAAGCCCTTTTTTACAGAGGTGTTTTATTTTAGTAACAAAATACCGATTCTTTCAAAAGCATATAAAAATTCACAATATTTGAAGTTAAAGGTAGAGGTTGGCAATTTATCTTCTGACTCATCACTTGGTAACTAAGTCTTCCTTCTTCTTCTGCTGGAGTCCACCCAAGCTGACACCTAAATGGCAAAACCAAGAGAGGAGGAGGCAGGGAGAAGAGGGCGTGGTGAAGGGGACACTGTTGACGCTCAGCGTCAGCGCTGTGCTCATCTGTTAGCGAATGCACCCTGGCTCCAGCTTCCCTCCCTCTGAAAACCCTTCGGATTAAAGCAAGGCTGCAGTCTTGGACACACTGCCAGGCTTGGGGAGGGCGAATTCCCTCAGTTCTGAGCAGGGCTGTGCAAGCAGCCTCTGTGTCACTGATTCGTCACCTTTGGAGACGTCTGTGGGAGGGAAGAGGCTTCCTGATCTCTCACACCTAGTCTTGCCACCCTCAGCTTAACTCATATAAGGATGACTCTGTCTGGAATATAAACCCAACCAATAACATTTCAGCTAAAACTGCCTTCCCTCACCCTTTTCAACCTGTGAGTGTGTCTTCTTTCCTGGCCCTGGTACCTGCTCCAGAGTTTCAGAGTCCTGAGGCTCCTCCCACTAAGAATCACTGCAGCTTTAGAGGAGAAGAATCCTCTGTGCACTGTGGCTCAGCAGCAGAGGGACCCAGCGGACCCAGCGTCAGCCTCTGCACGCTGTCCCTCAGGGAGCAGGTCTACTCTAGGACAGGGGCTGCATGCCGTCACACGGTCCTTCAGACCCAGGGATGTGGCTTCTGGCCAGGATCACACCCACTGATTGGCTTCCCCAACCCACTGGATATTTTGCATTTGCAGAGCCCAAGTACCTTCCATTTCCCTTCAGTTAGCTTTCTTCTCTGATTGCTTCTTCTTTTCAGCCTCTAGACTTTGCTGTTTGGCTTCCAGTCTTTTCCTTTGGTATATTTTCACTCCCGCAAATGCCAGGCAGAGAATCAGTGTCTTTGCTGCCAAGATATACAGCAGCAGGGGCACGTGTTCAAGAACCTTAACGAAGAAAGAAACCATTCTAATTGTTCGATCAGTGATATGCACAGTTGTGTTTCTTTGGTCAACAAGTACTTACTCAGCACCTATTATGTCATGAGCATGAAGCTAGGTGCAGGGGACCAAGCAGACATGGTCCCTGTCTCTGTTGGCTCTGCCCTGCATCATTCTCTTCTCATACATAAGAACTCTAGTCTTTTCGATTTCATGGGATTTGCTGATCACCCAGGCTCCTACTTATGAGGCAGAGCTTGGCCCAATGAAAGGAGCCGGAGGCTGAAAGCCTGGGTCAGTCACAGGACCTGCCTGAGTTTCTGCGTCTTCACCTGCAGAGTGAGCTGGACCAGTCCTTCCTCTGGATTCTCCAGCTTTGGTACACTACGATTTCCTCTTGATTTGGGGGACTCATGAACACTAGTACTTAAGGGTAAAACAAAGTACAGTAAACTCAAAATATTAAACTTATTATGTTTTGTTGAATAATCATTACTTTCTAGGACTAGGCAGAATTTAGCCCAATGAAATCATTAGGTTAAATTGCCAAACACCACTGATTATATGTAATACCAGTAAGATGAGTTCAGCTACAGGGAGTAGTGAGCCTCCCTCTAATAGTTTACCTGAGGTGGATCCAAAACCAGTGGGTAAAAACCACCCTTGGGCCTGACTCCTTCCCAGCAGCCGAGTCGGAACACAGCGTTGCAACCCCTTGGTCATCTCCCTCCCTCTGACTGCAGACTTCCAATGAAATGGAATGAATGAGATGGTAATTATCTCAGCTGTCTATGATTCGGCTGTGTATTTCAGGGTTAGAAGATGCAGCATCACCTGCCATTGAGCAAAGACTCCCTGGGCCCCAAGAGCCTCCCAGGGACTTTTTCTTTCATCCTCACTATAGCCTCGTGGGGAACACAGACGGTCCTGAGCCAAGAGCTGGACAACAGGGTGGGAATTCAGTGAGGAAGGGCCCGCTCCGACTGCTCCGAACCTCATCCCCGCACTCCCTGGTTCTCCAGAGCACGCTCTCCCCACGTCCATCAACTTCATAACTAAATTATGCGAATCAACACTGGCTTGGCTACCATATTTACAAAAGGCAACTGGGCTCCACAGCCCTGAGGTTATTTAACCAGCCATGTATGGACCTGAGGAAGGTCGCAATGGCACAGAAGAAGAACATAACGGATTTCATGGGGGCAGGGAGAACCCAAACACTCAATAAGGAAAACTCAGTAAATAAGACTTCAGCCACTAAATCCTTTAACAGTGAAGAAGACGCAACACGTGCACTTTTGAACGACGACTCTGACAACAGCATAGAACACTAGGGTGAGGGAAGTGCAGTTTCTCTTCCATTCACCTTGGGAAACATCAACAGCTTGAAATGGTGATTGGCTGCCAGGCCTTCCTCCCTCAGCCCCAGGGCTAGCCCTGGAAGGTTCACTTGCTGAGTGAAGATCTGACTCCATGTATAGAACCCAGCTGGAGGAGAAGGTTTAATGTTGTGATATGAGGCTTTTGTGTTTGTTAGAATGTTCTAGGCTGTCTGAGGCACGGCTCGTGCTGTTCCTCGCATCCAGGTTTCCACATCTCTGTGGATGAGCCCCTGGAGTCCATGTGACAACCCATGGGTCTCTGTGACCTGAATCCAAAACCCAGCCCCAGCAGAGGTTAGAAAGCCCACGAGGGGGAAATGCCAACTAAAGGACCAGGTAAGTGGTTTCAGTATTTACTTTCTTTTTGTGGGGTGTAGAGAGGAGGCGTCAAGGGGCAGAAGTTGCAGGCCTGAGAGGGAAACAGGGTGAGGGCCGCAAAGATCAAGGACACTAAGGGCTAAAGCAAGGGCTCCAGGCCCCCTTTCCTGCCCCAACCCAGGCACTAAGCTTCAACTGAGTTCAGTCTCCTCTTCTGGTTTCTTTCCAACAAACTGCTTTCATCTCTCAAAACATGCAGACCTTCTAGGGGGAAAACGGCTCTTGTTGGTGTGGCCTGGATCAACGTTAATTTTTAAAAACAAAGCCCCATACCTGTGACATAGGAATAGTTAACTTTTTAAACAGCGAGGCCACACATGCTACTATTATGCAGGCAGTGTAGACTGCTGCTGCCAGCCAAGGCCCACGGAGCCAGTAAGGAAGACCGCAGTGTACTGGGGTTGCAGAATCCCGTCACCTCCCTGGGCTCTCTGCAATCCGGGTTTGAGGAGAGTCACACTAGGAGGAAGGGGCCTGTTTGAAACTCGTGGCTGCTCCCTGGGGGCCCTTGTGCTTGAGACTGCCCGGAGCTGGGAAGGCGGGGAAGATTCTACTCCTGACACAGGAAAGGACTCCCCTCGTCGCAGGCAGGATTGGCCTTGGTGGCCACGAGGGTTGATGTCACTTCATAACTAAGGAGAAAAGCTCTATGCTGTTGCCTTAGACTCTCCATATCAGCATCACCTGGGAACTTGCTAAATGCAAACTCTCAGGCCCATCCAGACCTACCCAATCAGAAGCCCCTGGGGTCGGAGGGGACAATCCTGCAGTTTCAAGGTGGTTGAGATGTGGGGACGTGGAGCCCCATGCCGTGCAGCATTAACCACGACTCTGACTCTCTTCCTGTTGACTCAGCCACTGCAGAGGGTGAGCTCACCATGCTCTCTGCTTCTACCCTTTCCCATCATCCTTTACTGCATCGACTTTCCTTCCTCGCCCTCCACTGGGAGCTCCAGCTAAGCATGCTAAACAAACCCTCCTGTACCTTCAACCAGGCTCTCCCTGGACAAGAGGCCCTCAGCAGGCCTGCAGGCCACCGCCCACCCCCTGCCCCACATTGCTGGGGGAACCGGGGGCCTGTATTCTCCTGGCTCCCTGATCCTGCTTCCAGACCTTTCTAGTTCTCCTTGCCACCGGATATTCTGAACACAGAAGTGCTTATAATAAATGAAAAGCTACATACCATAAGATCCTACATTTGAAAATACACACCACACTTAATATAAGGGAAGAAAATACTGCAAAAAAAAAAATACACCAAAATTGTTAAGAGTAGCCACGTCTGGATAATGAGATGATGCATGATTTTTATTTGACTTTATCCTGCTACATTAAACATTTATTTTAGTGGCTGCTTTCTTAACCTCCTCCTCACCTTCCTGGCTTCAGGGGTGTAAACTGGTATTTTCCTTTCCCTCTGTGACACTGCTGTTGCCCACCGCCCACTGATGCAGACAGCCAGCAGGCCACCCTCTGGTTGTCCTTGAACTTCTGCTCCCACCAGCTAACCTAACATTTTATAGGGGTCAGTTGTGTTTACTCCCAGCCTGTTCAAGCTGCTACAGTAGGTAATTTATTTATGATTTATAAAGAAGATTGTCCCCAGGAAAACTAAGTCAAATGCTTTGAAAGACTCAAGTTTGACTAGGGGGGAAAAATGCTGTTGCAAGATTAGGGAAGAGGATTACAAAACATGGAACAATTTTGTATGTGGATTGCTCCATAAGATTTTAATCCACTATCTTAGGACAATTTGGGCTATTATAACAAAGTCCGATAGCTGGCTATAAACAATGGATTCATTTCTCAGTGTTCTGGAGGATGGAAGTCTAAGATTTGGCATTGCTGGGCCCGGATGAGGGTCCCCTTCCGGGTTGCAGACTACAGACTCTTGTATCCTCACATGGCAGAAAGAGGGCGAGAGGGGAGCTCTCTGGGAACCCTTTCATGAGAGCACTGACCCCATCCATGATGGCTCTACCCACTGACCTAACAGCACCCTCCCCCAGGCCCCACCTCCTAGTACCGTAAAATTGGGATTAGAGTTGCAACAAATGAGTCTGGGGACACAAACGTTCAGCCCAGCCCATCTACTTTAAAGAAACCAAAATGTGAAGTTGTGGGCAAAGCTTTAAGGCATGGTTTTGCAAGAAAAGTGAGGCAGACCTGAAGTCAGTGGATTAAAAGAAAGGCTGGCCTTCCTTCAGAGGTTGGGAATAATGTATATTTATGTTTTAACTTAAAGCATTAAGTATGACTACGCTCTCTCTTTTGGCTACATTAATCTTTTTTTTTTTTTAAAGAGAGAGGAGAGAGAGAGAGAGAGAGAGAGAGAGAGAGAATTTTTAATATTTATTTTTTAGTTTTCAGTGGACACAACATCTTTGTTTGTATGTGGTGCTGAGGATAGAACCCGGGCCGCACGCATGCCAGGCGAGCGCGCTACTGCTTGAGCCATATCCCCAGCCCATACATTAATCTTTTTAAAAAATATTTTTAGTTATAGATGGGCATAATACCTTTATTTTGTTTATTTACTTTTATGGGGTGCTGGAGATCTAACCCTGTGCCTCACACATGCTAGGCAAGTGCCCTACCACTGAGTTACAGCCCCAGCACCTACATTAATCTACTTATACAGAACTGTTACTCTTTATTTTTACAATTAGGAGTGCCATGGTTTGGTTGTGACTGTCCTCCATAGGTCCCTGTGTTTAAGGCTTGGTTCCCAGGGTGGTACAGTTGGGAAGTATCATGGTCCTTTGGGAGGTGGGGACTAGTGGGAGGTCTTTAGGTCACTGGGGGCGTTTCCTAGGTGGAAGCCTAGTCTCTTCCTCTTTTTTGTTTCTTTTCTCCACTGTGTGCTCCCGCCATTGCCATCCAGCACCCCTACCACAGGCCCAAAAAATGGGGCCACCCAATTTTGGACTGGAATGAGCTTAATAAACCTTTTTTCTTATGTCAATTATCTCAGGTATTTAGTTATAGTGAGTAAAAGCCAACTAATACAAGGAGAAAAGAAAAGGAAAAAAAAAAGCATATCATAAATGTTTAAAACTGTCTCACCTTCAAGTTCATGGTGGGCCAACTCTGAGTTCACTCCTGATCAGTGTAGTTCCCCCAGACAAGTGCATGAGAGGGGGCTGAAAGGTCAAGTCCTGGGAGTTCAAAGGTCTGATCTGGCAGGGAAGAAAAGAAACAGATCAACTTGAAGTTTCCAGGGCAGACCACTTTAGGAAGATGGGCCTCTTATGTGGAGGGTCATGTGAGCAAATAGAGTAAGCTGTGCAGAGGCAGGTTAAGTGTCCTGAACAAGGTCACCCAGAGCCTGTTGGAAGCAGAAGGGCTACATGAGGGCTAAGCTAGGCCTGGTTCTTCCTGAGCAATACCTCTCCTCAGCAGCTCTCCACAGCTCCCAACAGAAGAGGCAGCGTGGCCCCTGAGGGACATGAGCCCCAACTCATTCACCTGTAGACCTAAGAGCCTGCACCCCAGAGCTGTCCTTCCACCCCATTCCTGCCCTGAACACAAGCTGGGGATGGATTCCTTTGTTCTCAGGTCCTCTGAGCACTAACTGAGCTCATCTTGGTTTTTAAGGAATTATTGGAGGGAAGGGAATAAATGATAGAGAAAAAATTGCCTGAGAAAGCAATTCGTATAGAAAATTCCCTGTCAAGCATGAGGGAGACTCGCTGGAAGGGGAAGCTGGAGGTGACAAGGAGGGACACTGGACTTGTGCTGGGCCCTCAGAGGCCACTATTCTTAGAATACACATACCCCAAGAGCCAGAAGACGTAAGCTCTGGATAAAGACCCTACACTCTGGGGCCTCAGGGGCATCTATAAGCGAAAAAAGGAAGTGCCAACCAGAGGATCTCTTGAGTCTCTTCTTTTTCTGAAATTTGATGACTTCCTGCATAATAACGACAGCTTAACTTTGGTGTGCCAGGCTGTTAAATCACTTAGATGAAGTCGTTCATGTAGGGTTTGTAAGTGCCCGATGAGGTGCAGTTCATTATCTCCACTTTACAGACAAGGAAACAAAACTCAAGAAACACATCCAAGGTTCCCAGGTGGGCCTAAGACTTGAACCCCTCAGGTCTGGCTCCAGAGCCTCCACCTGCTATCCTGAGGCTCTGCGCTCAAAAACCACGGGGGCACTTTTTGTTGACGTTGTCCTGTTTGTTTGTTTGTTTTTTGCCGTGCTGGGGCTGGATCCTGGGCCTTCAGCAAGCTAGACAGGCGGTTCTACACTAAGCCACACCCCCAGATCTACAGGGACACTTTTCTTTAAATGTACTTATAAAAAGAATGAAGAAAAGCAACAGAAAATTTCACGGGCCTTCAGAATGGAGAGAAGACAAACCTCGGGGAAGATGCTTTAAAAAGTTCATACCTCATCTTTCCAAGGTTATAGTGCTTGAAAAACCAGCTAGTTGTTGGCACAAGATAAGCAAGTTTTTCCCGTGACTTGCAAAGTCAGATAAGCTAACAATAGGAATTTCAACCCTACCTGTTTAAAGGTAACGATATGATGGAAGGTGTTCATTACCTTCATGTGGAAACCACTCACTTGCCTCTAAGTAGCAGCAGACTTTGACTGCCCTGGAGAAATGTGTTCCTAGGTTATAAACTGCTGTTAGAATTTCCATTCTGAGCAATCTCTGGTCATCTTAGGGATTAGCCGTATTGTGTACTAAAGCAAATATTTCAAGTTCTTTTAAATTTTATTTTTAAATTTTAAATTTTTATTTTAAATTAAATTTTTAAAGTTCCTGCTTGATGGGAGTTGTGTACAAACACAATACAGTAATGTAGCTGTTTCACACAAATTGCCACACTCCATGAATTGATGTATGCAGTGTATCAACTCCTAAGGTCAAGGGCAATAAATAGATCCCTAAAGCTTTCAGGAGGAAATAAATGAAAAAGAACCTTTGGTGTTCTGGCCTTCTGGTGAACATGTGTTATATTTACTAGCAGACTGACACTCAGCCTCTCTAAGCCTAGACTTCCTCATCTGTAAATTCTCCTTCAGAAATTGCACTGTAAACACTAAACACCAAGCTCAACATGTAGAAAGTACTAAATCAATGTCAACCATTATTGCTATGATAAATCTCTCCCACTAATGGATATCAAGCTGAAGATGCAAATAAGTGGCATCGAGGGCAAAATGCAGCCACTGCAGGACAGCAGGGCTTGGAATAAAGAACAATAATGAGGACAAGGAGAACTGGAGTTCTGGACTCAATTCCTGGGGGCAAGGCATATGACCTGGGGTAAGTCATTAACCTTCTGAACCAAAGAGTTCTCATTTGCAAAGTCAGAACCCAAAGAATGATTCCGTAATTCTGGAACTCACAATTCACCATCCTCTCTGATATCAAGTACTTAACTGCAAAAATATACTGGCAGCTGCCTCAACTTTCTACTCTGATAATATCAGATTCAAGCTCTTTAAGAAAGAAACAGCCAGGCACGGTGGCTCACGTCTGTAACCGCAGCAGTTTGGGAGGCTGAGGCAGGAAGACTGCAAGTTCAAAGTCAGCCTCAATTTAAGGAGACCCTAAAGCAACTTAGTGAGACCTTGTCTCTAAATAAAATATTAAAAGGGGGATGGGGATGTAGCTCAGTGGTTAAGCACCCCTGGGTTCAATCCTGGGTACCAAAAAAAGAAAGAAACAAAGAAACAAAGTCGATTTGCGTTACTAGTGGGAGGGGTAAGGTAAGAGTGGAGGAAAAGAGGGTACAGCACCCACATCAGTCCTCCTGCCCAGTCCCACCCATTGACTCTGAAACACTAGTTTCCCCACCTCTCTTAAATGACATGCCCAGTAGCCATTTTCATAGCACTTTGCAGGCCTTCTGCAAATGAGAACGACTAAGAAAGCTAAAAATATTAGCCACAGGTTTGCTCCAATATCATATGTGCACCTGATTCAATATTAGAAACAAGGGGCAGTGGCATCTGCCGGCTGGACTGCAAAATGCCACCAAAACAGGGGCAGTTTTGTGGGGCCTAAAATCTACGGTGTGCAAGGAATTTGACACCTCCACTGGAACTCTCCAGTCAGCTTAAAACTCAAAAATAACAAACGGCTTAGATATTTCCATTTTCTTTCTGTAAAAGCATCCTTATTTTTTCTTGGGCCAGGTTTCTTCTAGAAACAAATGAAAAACTATTCACTCATTTTTCCTAGGCCAATTAAAACAGTGTAGACAATGTCTTGTTCACGAGCTCCCTTTTCTGGGCGGCACCCCTAATACGCTCAAGGGCCAGTTTATTTCTCCATGTGTAACTGGCTCCGCTGACCACTCAGCAGTGCCCTTTAACTTCTGAAGTTGTCCCCTTCCCCAGTTTCTGTCACTTTCGCCCTAGCTCTTCACCCAGTCACTTGAAGTAAGAGGAGGTCTGGAGAAGGCCCTCTCTCCTCGGTACAGGGGCCTGACCTCAGGAAACCAGACCCAGTAGGGTGCTCAGACTCCACATGTTGTTTTGGGGATCCGCTGAGGAACGAGGGCGGGGGTCTGCACCTCTACTTTCCCGAACCCCACGCTCTAGCGGGAGAGGTTGGTGCCTGTAACTTCGGGGCAAGATTGGGAGAGTAAGAGGACCCTCAGGGCATCAGCTCCTCCTCAGGAACTCGGAGGTCAAAGCTAAGTCCTTTCTCCACGCCCCTGGTCCACTAGGACCCGGGGATAAGGGCCAAGGGCTGTCATCGCTTTCCCCTCCCTTGCACAGAACAGCCGTCCCCAGATCTCCGGAGCGCAACGCCCTCTGACCAAACCAACTCTGGGCCTGCGGGACCGCGTGCCAGCCTAAACACGCAATCCGCGCTGGGCGGGTGGGGACAGGGCTGCTGTCACCCTCCTGGTCCCCAGCCGGGGAGCGGGCGCAGGCGTTTATCCGAAGACAAACGCAAACGCAGAGCTGGCCGCCAGATCCCGGGTCCACAAAGAGGAACTTGCAGCTACCCCGGATGTCACGCACTTACAGTTCCCGGCGGCGGAGTCCCCAGCCCCTGGCTGGACACAAACCGGGACTCGCGCGACCCAGCCGGGGAAACTACACGTCCCGAAACGCACCGCTCCGCGCAGGCGCAGTGGGCCCGAGATGCCCTGGCGCCGCGCGCTCCGTGCGCAGGCGCAGCGGGTCTCCGTCGGGTTGCAGCAGTTTGGATACTGGAAGGGTGACCTCATTGGTAGCAAGGGCCTGCGGTTTTTCTAGGCCAAGGTTGGGGCCTAGGGAAAAAGATGGCTCTGAGGAGCCTGACTTGCTAACACTCCTTTCTCTGCCATTGAGTAGCGCCTTCTGTTTACCTTTGCCAACTCTTAACCCTGTGCTCCTGCCTCAATTGCAAGTCTGTTACAGAAAACGGGTATTTTGTGTGTAGCGGAATCTGTAAGGGGCAGGTCTTGTCGTTGGTGCTGTGGTTTGAATATGGTTTGTCCCCACGACAGCTTGCCTTGGGGCTGTCCCAGTGTGTTGGGAATGGTGAGATGTTTTAAGAGGCCCTTGGGTCATGAGGAATCCGCCCTCATGAGGGGATTGATGCCATCTGTGGCAGTGAGTTTGTTCTAGCTCAGATGGGACCGAATTAGCTACCCAGGGCGCAGGTAAGGAGGTCGCCTCTGGTGTTGGGCAGCTCCTATGGGGCTATTTCACTTTCTGCCGAGTTGGGAGTTGAAGCAGCATGCAGCCCTCCCGGAAGCTGCCCAGATGCGGGTGCCAGGCTTTGGGACTTCTATTATGGTTTGGATCCGACTTTCCCCCCAGAGGCTCATGTGTTGAAGGCATGATCCCCCAATGCAGCAGGGTCCTGAGGTGGGGCTTTGGGGAAGTGACTGGATCATGAGGGCTCTGACCTCATCGATGGTTTTATCCATTGATAATTGAATGGACCAATAAGAGGTGGTGAGGGCGGTGGGAGACGGGGCCTAGTTGAGGGGAGTGGGTCCTTGGGGTCATGGTCTTGGGGAGTGTTTTCTTATCCCTGGCCCCTTTTCCTCCCCCCCCCCCTTCTGCCTGCCAGTAGTTGACATCTTTACTGCACCACGCCCTTATGCCATGATCAGGCCCACAGCAATGGAGCCTGCTCCCCACGGACTGAACCCTCTGAAACCGTGAGCCATCATAAATCTCTCCTCCTCTAAGTTGTGTGTGTCAGGTATTTTGAAAATGCACAGCGTCCCAGCTTCCAGAACCATAAGCCAAAATAATGCCCAGTCTGAGATATTCTGTGATAGCAACAGAAAACAGATTAAGGCAGTTTATGCAAGGAGTTATATAACCACACTTCGAATAAGAGCTCTTTTTTTTTTTAACTTCATACCTTAAGAGTTGAGTTCCTACTGGATCCTTGTGCCCTGGCTGAGGAGGGGGAAGGAGATGAGGCCTGCAGCCCCACACAGTTCTCTCTTGCCCTTTACTTCCTACTCAGCTGCACTGAGAAGGGAGACATGAACCCAAGTTAGGACTACCCTCCTGCCCTGCTTGGGCTTTGTCCTCTGGGCTTTGTTGGATTGTTGTGGATTCATCTCCTATGAACTGTCTGACTCCCTCTCTCCTGGGTGCTCCTGCAGCTCAGGGAGTCTCGTTCATCCCTAAACTCCTGTTTAGAGGAGCTGAGGCAGTAACCCAAGTGGAAACATTGCCCAGTGGAATCGGTGAATGGCAGCATCTCATCTCAGAGCACCGCAGATTCCTCATCTGCAAATGGAGCAGCCTGGCAAGAACAAAACCATCTCCAAGGGACCTTCCAGGTTTGACTTCCTAAAACATCACAGGTGCAAAATATTTATTTTCTTTTAAATTGAGAGATAAAATTGTACATATGTGTCATGTATAACAATGTTTAAAAGTATATGCACATTGTGGAATGACTAAATCGAGCCAATTACCATATGCATTATCTCACATGCTTATCATTTCTGTCGTGAGAACAGACACTTAAGGTTTACTCAGTATGTTTATTAACTGCTGTCCCCAGGCTATGCAGTCGATTCTTGAACATATTCCACCTATTTACCTGAAATTGTGTATCCTTTGACCAGCAGTCAAAGCAGTCACCATCCGGCTGTGCATGTTGAACCTGACATTGGCAACTTGCCCTCTTCCTGTACCTTTAGTCTCTTCAAACATAAGTTGAAAATAAGTGATTATAAGTAAAAGAAAATAAAAATCAAGTAAGCATAAGGTTGTTTATGAAGACATGTCAACTTTTTATTATTATTTCCTTAAGTAATGAGAACTTTTAAAAGTTTGTTTTCTGCAAAACATTAACTGTTAGTTTAAAAATGTGTCTCTGTTGAGCTGTAAGTTTCCTAAGTGTTTGACTTCTCTGGTATGGTTTGTTTGCCCTTTGCAATGTTTGTTCTGTCTTCAGACTTCCAACAAGTCAAATACTAGGATAACCATAAATGTAAAGTAACCTCCTGGTTCTGTTCATTCATCCCTTCAGACTCAGCACTCATAAATTAATAAGTGAGTGTTCCTATGTCAATCCAGTCAGCAAGTGATCAATTTTGAACCTTGGTTTCTGAATAATACATCTGGGGTATTTATCAATTGAATTTTTCACATCCAGCCTAAATATCATGAGAAAGAAGGTTTAATGATTTCTAACTCTCTTTTCTATTCCCACTGCCCCTGTCCAGGTCCTTGGCTTAAAATTTGGCTTTATTCTTACTATTGACATTGATTTAAATGACATTTATATTGCATAGAAAATGCTCAAAATGTCACTCCAATAGGCAAGCATAAGTCACTGAGATTGAAATGTCTTCCATCTCAGTTGGCCAGCACATCACCTCCATGAAAGGTCTCAACAGGGAGAGGAACTCGCTCTCTTTATACAGTGACAATCTGGATCTGCTTGGGAGCGCAGGCACCTCCTCACACCTGGATGTCAGAGGTTGGCTTTGTCTCTTTCTGCCTTATCAAGGAGACATTTTGAACCCCGCTGCACCCACGTTCTCATGGATGGTGGCCTTTGATTCCTCTGGATGCAGAATTTGACTCTTGTACTTTTCCTGCCAGTCCTCCACAATGTACTGGTGGTAGGGGTCCTGGGAGTGCTCTCGCCTCTTGGATTTCACAGTGCTCACCAGGATGGCGACGACGATGAAGGAGAACATTCCTATCATCACCATGAGGTACAGGATGACGTAGTAGAAGTTCTCAGCATCCACCTTGGCCTGGAGTGCCGCCTGCTCCTCTGTGGTGTTCCTGCGCCAGTTGTCCATGTATGTGATAAAAATCCTTCGGAAGACGTCTTCCAGCGTCTGGGTCAAATTGAGTAACGAAGGCATGCTTCCCTCCTGCTGTGATTTAAATAATAAAATAGATGAACGAGGTTGAGGAAACAGATCCTTTCAGCATTTGCGAGAGGAGGGAGGGATACAGAGGGAGAGTGATATTTTCTCCTCCTCTTCTTTCTTTTTTTTTGTTTTGTTTTGTTTTGTTACAGTCAGCCTTTTAATAAACCAGAGAGAAATCAAAGGCAGTATAATCACTTCATGTCAACTACAATGGCACGGAATGAACAGGTTTCAGCTTTTATACAGCATTTTGCCACATTAACAAGCCCAGGGTGGTGGTAATGGTTTTTGTTTTTTTTTGTTTTAATTTTTAAAGTTCTCTGCCTATTTGTATGTCATGTGTACACACATAAAAGCCACAGCTGTTTTTTTGTTTAAGAGTGATCTAATATACAGAATTTTAGCCTTTAAGGGTATATACCTCTTCATTTAAAATGCTTTCTGGAAAATCTGCTGAAACACATTTTGTCACAGGTAACATTAAAACTACATACAGACCGACCTGTGTAACATCACAGCCAAACATGACATTTTTTTCAGTGACTTTAGCTTTCTCTCTCTGTGTCATGCTGTACTTTTTGTTCATCATGTTTTGCTGTGATGTTCCTCCTTAACCTGCCTAGCGTCTGCAGGCACATCTTGTTAGTCTTTGAACTGATCATATACATTGTAGTCATTGTTTGCATGCATAACTACTTTACAGAAAATCTTCATGGCGACTAAATGACACATATATACATTTTGATATACACATTTGTACATAAATGTATACATATGAAAATGAGGGAAAGATGAAGTTAATAGGTCAAAATGTTAATACTGAGTGGTACACTTACCTGTGTACCACTGTGTGTGTATGTGTGTGTGTATGTATGTGTGTCTGTGTGTATGTATGTGTGTGTGTGTGTATATATATATATATATATATATATATATATATAATATATATCTTTATGCTTTTCTCATGTTCCAGATTTTCACTAGTGCTCTTGCATTACTTACAAAGATTAGTAACCTCACAACAGCCAGTAAATTGCTGCATTCAAAATAAGCATTCAACAAAAATCACTTGACTGAAGCGACGCTCACTTATGAGTTATGGGGATGAAGACAATGAAGACACAGTATTCAGGCAAAAGAGGCATGGACAGGCTTTCCAATTTGTTCCATCTAGTAGGTGTAGGCAGTGCCTTGTCCCAAAGAAATGAGTATGTACATCTGTACTTTCAAGAACATCGTGTGTAGGTGATGCCAAGAAATACCCTGAGCAGTCCCTCATCTTTCTCAGGTCTGTCCTGATCATCCCCACTGCCACCATCCAGCCACCAACATCTCTCCTTGGGTGATGCAGAAAATACAGTACAATACAGCTCTCCCCCAAATCATCACCTTGGGGGTTTTGCCCTCTCCGTTCTGTACAGCAATGTGCTCTTTCCAAGAGGGAAACAGAATCATGCTATCCCCTCACTTTTAAAATGGTGCAATAGCTTCCTGTTGTTTAAAAAATAAAGTCCAATTTCTTAACAGGGCTTACCCCACTTGATCTGAGCTAGCTCCTGACCCACCTCTGCAATGACCCCCTGTTCTTAAAGATTTGATCCCACCCGATTTTGTTCCTCCAAGTCAGTGAGCTCTTCTGTCTCAGGATATTTGCACATTCTATCACCTCTACTCTTCCACCTGCTGCCTCTTTGTTCCTTAGGTGTCAGCTCAATTGCTACCTTTCTTGAATATATGTCATTCCTTCAGGAAAAGAGATGTTTCAGGTCTTATCATCTGGGAAAGAATCAAAGAAAAGCTTCTAAGTATTTCTCCCACGGAGCAGGTCTTCCCAGATTTCCTCATTGGAAATCAGTGTAATGAATATATTTTTCTCCATCTGACATTTTAAGTTCTATTTTCAAAAAGCTCTAAGATCCATTTCACAGATCCCCCACCACCAGACAGTTAAGTAACACAGCTCTCTATGAAAGCACAGCTCTCTGTGGGCTTGGTCCACGCTAGACTTGGCCCGTGTCTTTCACCCTGGAGGAGACAGGTGAGTTCACACCAGCGTCCTCTCTCAAGGGCCAACTCCCCACCCTCTGCCCACACCAAGGTGAACCCTGGAAATGTGGTGCGGCAGGACGACTTCACCCAAAAAGAATGTTGTGATTTCCCCACCTTTTCTATCCCCTCTGCCTTGTTCTCGAGAGAATTCAGTTTCCATTTGAGAAGTCAAATTGGAAAAACAGTGGAACACAGAAACAACTGAAAAAAGACACAAAAGAGCCATGTTGCTAAGCTAAAGATCCTCAGGTGTGCTGAGAGAAGTCTGCACGTGAGATGAGAACCCTGAGCGCCAAGTTCCTCTGGAGTCATGGATTCAGCCTTTGCCAGCCCTTGAGAGTGAGAGGCAGGTACCCCAGTTATTTGTTCAGCTCTCCTCACATGGACAGAGGTTCACTGCTAAGCAGAGCAGGAGTGCTTTTTGTTCAGACCTGATCAGAGGGCTGTAAAGGGCCTGTGGGATTAAGTATCTAAGTGCTGACCGTCAGCCAGGTTGAGAAACTGGGGTCCACAGCGATTCTGAATACCGATGCACAAGATGTGCATGACCACAGGAAAAATCCAAATTGTGGTGTATGAAAGTGGTTTCATTGATGGGCATTATGCTAAAACATATTCAAATGGTGAGTTGATTTGAAGTTCTGACTTCCAGAATAACTGTTGAACTCACAGGCATCAACCATTCTTATCCTACCGTAAACACTGTAATAGGCGTTTACGTTGTTAATACCAACTCAGATATTAATGTGTTCTCTTGAATCATATGAAATTGCCACTTATCTAGGTTTAAATGGTCAAATATCGGCAGTTTTATGTAGTTCAACCTAATGGAAATTACATTTCCAATTAACAGTTCTTACCGCATCACACAGAACAAGATGGGCCCCTAGAGGTTATTTAGACTGGCTTAGTCTTTGGGAGGTGGCATGATTATAGCCTAGAGAGCTGAAATCACTTGCCTGAGATCACAGGGCTCTCAAGTTGACCACAGTGACCAGACTAGAACCCGAGTGACCCACATCAGTGCCCGCGCTCTCTCTGTCCTCACAGAGGTCACACATTCCAATAGCTGCCTGACTCCAAGGCCTGTGGCTGGCCAGCTCACTTGGGTAAAAAATAAAAGACTAATAAGACCTTGGTTTGAGCTTCCATACATCAATTCACTGTGCCTTGTCTCCAGACGATAGGATGATCCGTAATTCCAGTTCTCCTTGTCCTAAATATGTAATTCACGACAATGGCATCTGGACACTATCAGGAAAGCAACATTCATTTGACCCCCAAACCCAAAGTTCTCTTGTCTTGAAAGACGACGGATTCCTGGAATCACTTGGGCCTACAAAGGGCAGCAAAATCTTTTATTTTTATGTCAAGAATAGGAAAAATGTAATCACATTTTTCAGCACTTGTCTGGAGTCGTGCTGCCTTCTCCCCAGTGCTCAGCGTCCACTGGGAGGTGGCCACATTCTCCTCATCCTCCTAGGACCCCTGACTCCTGCACATGTCTGGCCCGGAACCGTGGTCCACTGAGGCACATTGCTGAGAAGAGAGTCATACATTTACCACAAATCTCCCATTTCCAAAGAAAACGTCTTCCAGAATTTTCATCCAAAGGCAATTGCTGGAGAAATGAGCAAAGAAAATAGGAGGCAAGGAAGGAAGGAAGGAAGGAAAGACAGAAGGAAAGGAGAGAGGGAGGGAGCTGGGCAGGTGGGCCAGGCCACATGCCAGAAAAATCATTTATTTTACAGTGTTTGAGAAACAGAAAGGAGAAAAATTTGTTACCTAATTCCTCAAAATATAAAGACTTTTCAATTTTCCATAGAACTTACGTAGGCAGTGTGTGAGCAACACGAACGGCCTTGGCTGAGCCCGGCTGCTCCGAGCCTCCTTGGTGGCGTTAGGAGCTCTTCAGGACTGTGCCTACATCTCAGGCCGCTGAGCACCTTCAGCTTATGACCAGCTAAGCCCTTGCTAACTGCAGCCTGCAATCCTAGGCTTTTACGAACCCGAATGTTTAATCTAATCTTCTGTGGAAAGTTAAACACTGGCGGGCGGCTGGAATTAACCTTGGTGCCTGATGGGGTGTGCCTGTGTGGAGCCTGGCTTTGGGCAGAGTGGCCCAAGTTCCCTCTTTGGGCCCCATGATGCCATCTTTGGCCAGGGAGGTACCTGGGCGTAGTGAATCTCTTCTCAGCAATGTGCCTCAGTGGACCACGGTTCCGGGCCAGACATGTGCAGGAGTCAGGGGTCCTAGGAGGATGAGGTGAACGGGCCATCTCCCAGTGGACGCTGAGCACTGGCGAGAAGGCAGCATGACTCCAGACAAGTGCTGATGTTCTGAAGACCTCCCCATGTGCTGAATTTTATTTCAATACCCTCTCTGGGACCATTTCCAATCGACTTCATAGCAACATTGCTGTCTTGTAAAATAGAAACTGGTCACAAAGGTATTAACTATATAGAGAAACGAAAGCAAGTCCAACAAAGTGTTTAAAGACCCACGAAGAGCCAAACAAACTCTAATTACCCAAAGGTCCTTTTCTGTCGTGGTGGGAATTGGACAGAGTGGGACATCATAAGAGCTGTTAGGAATGAATACATACCGGATGCCAGGTTCTTCCCTCAAATGTTTGTTATATTAATTTCATGAACCTTACTGCAGCCCAATGTGTAAAGCAGGATGAACTTGACAGCCGAGGAATCCAGGAACAGAGAAGGCAGGAGGTCAGAGGGTGGAGACACGTAGCCAGAATTAGGGCCCAGTCCCAGTGCTGGCTAGAGGTCACACTCACCCGAGATCCCTTGAGACTCAGGCGGATGACTCTAGTGACTCTGTGACTTGGGCTGTGGCCATGTAAAAGGAAGTGAACTTTATTTCACAAGTGGATTTTCTCATTAAATGGTCCTCTGCTTTTCTCATTAAAAGGTGGTCTGAAGCACGCTGGG